GACCTTATCTACTAGGCCATAACGAATATTTTTTATCAAAATGAATTTATACGGAAAATTGTATTAACCCGCGCCCGGCTGGGGGTCCTGGATTTCCACGCCCTGCTGGGGGGTGTTTGAACACCCCCCCCCTTGTAACTCGGCTCCTGGGCCACGTAGCGATACGCGGAAGGCGGCGTTCGAAAGAGCGTCAAAAATAATGACGAAATCACTTCGGTCAATTTTTTGGTCAGGTCAAAGGTCAGGTCACCAGAGGTCATTGAAGGCAAAATTTCGCCGATTTCCAGGTCGAATGTCGAAAATTTCCAAGAAGCCAACGCATAACTCGAGAACCAATAGAGCTACAGCGCCGCGGAAAAGCGCATTCGATAGCCCTATTAAAGCCCTTTCTGAGTAATTCTCTCAGATTTGACCTAATGTCAATGGTTTTGCCTGCAGGGGGCAAAAACTGCAAAAATAGCCGATTTTTTCGGAAACAGTTTTTCTGCAATAACTTTTGACTCAAGCCTTGTACGAGTTTACTTTTACCGGCATCGTGTTCCTCTCGTCAAGACGCATCGAATGAACTATAACTTGACCTTGAAAGGTCAACTTGAAAATTTGACCTCAGGTCAAGGTCATGACCTGACCGGAAAGGGTCATGTTGCATATCAGTCGATCCGTATCGTCGAGCTGAACACATCTAAGGCGTTTTCATCGCTCTAGCATGCCTCTATCAAAAGTTATTTGCGAAAAACTGTTAGATACCATTCGTGACCTAAGATGACCTCAGGGCATAAACAAGGGTCACGGACACCATTTTCATGTTCAGTGTGTCTAAACCACTTGTAATTCGATGTTTGGGAGTGTTTATAATGTCTTTTGTCCAAAAGAGGCGCATTTCAATTTTCTCCCATTGACTTATAATGGGGAGGTCGCAAAATTGACCTGACCTTAGGTCATCGATATCAAAATTCTGAGATATACATTTTTTACAAGCTATTGCCCTTAGCAATCGCTGAAAGTTTCAAAGCGATCGGTCACTCGGTGTAGCTATGACAGACATTGAAACTTTTTATGAGGTGAGGTCACTTCAAGTGACCTGGTGACCTGACCTTGAATGACCTTGGTCTGAAATTTTCACAACATGTGTAGAATTGATGTATGATAAGGTGTACCAAAAACGGCGGCGCTCCGCGCCGCCGTTTTTGAGATATTTGCGAAAAACCACAAGGGGGGGTGTTCAAACACCCCCCCAGCAGGGCGCGGGTTAACCCGCGCCCGGCTGGGGGTCCTGGATTTCCACGCCCTGCTGGGGGGGGGGGGGGTGTTTGAACACCCCCCCTTCTAACTCGGCTCCTGGGCCACGTAGCGATACGCAGAAGGCGGCGTTCGAAAGAGCGTCAAAAATAATGAGGAAATCACTTCGGTCAATTTTTTGGTCAGGTCAAAGATCAGGTCACCAGAGGTCATTGAAGGCAAAATTTCGCCGATTTCCAGGTCGAATGTCGAAAATTTCCAAGAAGCCAACGCATAACTCGGGAACCAATAGAGCTACAGCGCCGCGGAAAAGCGCATTCGATAGCCCTATTAACGCCCTTTCTGAGTAATTCTCTCAGATTTGACCTAACGTCAACGGTTTTGCCTGCAGGGGGCAAAAACTGCAAAAATAGCCGATTTTTTCGGAAACAGTTTTCCTGCAATAACTTTTGACCCAAGCCTTGTACGAGCTTACTTTTACCAGCATCGTGTTCCTCTCGTCAAGACGCATCGAATGAACTATAACTTGACCTTGAAAGGTCAACTTGAAAATTTGACCTCAGGTCAAGGTCATGACCTGACCGGAAAGGGTCATGTTGCATATCAGTCGGTCCGTATCGTCGAGCTGAACACATCTAAGGCGTTTTCATCGCTCTAGCATGCCTCTATCAAAAGTTATTCGCGAAAAACTGTTAGATACCATTCGTGACCTAAGATGACCTCAGGGCATAAACAGGGGTCACGGACACCATTTTCATGTTCAGTGTGTCTAAACCACTTGTAATTCAGTGTTTGGGAGTGTTTATAATGTCTTTCGTCCAAAACAGGCGCATTTCAATTTTCTCCCATTGACTTATAATGGGGAGGTCGCAAAATTGACCTGACCTTAGGTCATCGATATCAAAATTCTGAGATATACATTTTGTACATGCTATTACTCTTAGCAATCGCTGAAAGTTTCAAAGCGATCGGTCACTCGGTGTAGCTATGACAGACATTGAAACTTTTTATGAGGTGAGGTCACTTCAAGTGACCTGGTGACCTGACCTTGAATGACCTTGGTCTGAAATTTTTACAACATGTGTAGAATTGATGTATGATAAGGTGTACCAAAAACGGCGGCGCTCCGCGCCGCCGTTTTTGAGATATTCGCGAAAAACCACAAGGGGGGTGTTCAAACACCCCCCCAGCAGGGCGCGGGTTAATGCATGAATTAGCAGATGGCACTGAAAGTTTGCTGCTGATGTATATACAATTTTGACGAAATATAGCCATGATAATAGTCTTCTGTGGCCCGAGCTCGTTGCTATTCATCTCACACTGATGCCATCACCAATGCAAAGCTTGCCTCCCACTGACGTCATAAAACGACCTCCAATGACGTCACGATACACCACCATGTAATATGTATGCAGCAAGAGGATCCACATAACGAACTAGCACCACGCCATGCCTATCACCCGATAAATCCAATAATAGTTTTTTGATGCCGTTGCAACAGATGATGCATCCTTGTTATATATGACACATTGCAGGTCGCGCCAGATCAAAGTTATCAAATAAACATCTTAAATTGTCTGAAGAAACGGAATGGAAATTAAAACACTACCTACGTTCGATGTTAAACAGATGTATAATGCATCTGGAGACACACATAGGTATAGTCAAATATCACCAATCGCAAAACTTTTGCCAACAGTGACTTTTGCCTAATTATACACACAATCCAATGCCCACTGCTCAGTTGCAATTACTTCATGGCAACGCGGCTTTCGAAAATCCTTTGTTCGTAAATTTCCATATATTTGATCATAGATTTTGATTGAACCGTTAAACATACATGTAATTGTAGGAATGTAAAAAGGTGTAATTGAGTGAAATCAAATTTTATTCAGAGTCGCGTATGTTATCAAGTGAACAAAATACAAATATTGAATTTTCACATTTCAATTTTACCGAGTTGTATTGTTTTGTTATACCCAAGAAACTCTACCCTCGCCGGTCGAGGGGGGGCGGGTGCGCCCCCCACAGGATTTTTTTCGCGATAGCTCCGAACACGCTGGCGATAGAGAGCTGAAACTTGGCATACCTGACCTTTGGTTCAAGCCGGATCTTTTGACACCAACCGCATTTTCGGGTCAGGTCAGGTCACTGACCTATGACGTCATAAGTGATCCTCTGCACGGTCTTCAGATGTCACAACTTCGCAACGCCCTCACTGCCAGAGGAGATGTCACAGGGAAATGAAACTTGCAGGATCTAGTATCCATTATGAGTCTCACCACAACTTGTATATCTCGGATTTTTCCTAAAGGTCATATGAGGTCGGATCATTTTCGTGACCTTACCATTATAAGTCAATGGGGAAAAATGAAAACTGCTATTCTGGCGCCGGGAACGATCTCCAACTATCTCAAGCACACAGAATCGTGATTTGATGCACTCTTTGCAAGGTTAGATGCGTCACTTTTGCAATGTTGATCTTGCGTGACGTCATTTATGACGTCATCAAGGTCATATTAGTTTTTCGTCAATAACTCTTGATCAAATTGAGCTAGCGAGTCGGGAAAGCCACCAATGGACTCAGGAAGACCTGCCGAATCGAGTGATATACGACATGGCCTCTTTCGACCAACTTCGTGACCTGGGGGTGCTGACCTGACCTTGACCTGAGGTCAACATCCCAAGTTGAGCTGACCCGGACAAAAAGTAAATCATTCGACGCGCCTGAGCGAGGCGAACACGATGCTGCCAAAATCGCGGCTGCGCGGCCGTTTTTTGCGAAGTTATCCACCAAAAACTGAACCGTACATTGGGGCACTTGACCTGACCTCAGAGGTCACCGGTTGACCTAGGACCTTAAAATCGGGTACCAATCTCTGCGTCTCGTAACGGCGCACACGCTCGTTTTTTTTCGCGACGCGCTAGGGGCGAAACGGCGAGGGGAGGGGGTCGTACCCGCCCCCCCCCCTCGGCCGGCGCGTATGTAGAAAACCAATAGGTCCGCGAGGGTTAACTCTGCATGTTAGATGATATCTATCTCTGACATCTGATCCCCGCGCACCATCAACGCGCGGCCATTCGGAAGATACGGGAACGCAACTTTGTTTATTATGACATTTGGGATCTCAATATCAATGCGAAGTATGTTCGTGCAGAAGACGGGTCTCGATGCACTTCAATCACACTAATGCACTCTTGGAATTACTAAAAAAAAACTTTTCAGAAAGTTTCTATACGCTGCGTTTCTGGTATACTTAATACGTGATAGGCTCAGATTCCTTGCATCATTTGCATGTAAGAATTTATGAGAACTGATATCTGTTATGTCAAACTCTTCCAAACAGTGTCGAAAAACAGACCTACTCAAAGCATACTAAATTTAATGAACTTAAAGAAACGCACGTAAAAATCAAATAAAAGAGTATCTAACTTAGGTACCTACTTAAGTATTATGCGACAGCTAGTTGCATTGCTGTCCGTCTTCAAAGAACAACTGAGGAAAACGTCAAACCAATGCACGACCAATGAACTTCAGAGCGTTTTCCACATAAAACACAGCGGTTGGAATGTTTGCTAGCTCAGGATATTGCGCCACTTATATTTACTTTAACTTCTATCCTCAGAAGTTACCAGCTGCACACAGTCTAGCATCTCACCAAAGGTTTACAAGGCCAACTGTCAGGTACGAGGAGCGCCCTAACTGTAATCCAATCATCTGTAACTTATCATAAGTAACTGCATTTTACTGTCTTTTTCAGAGAGCCAGGCGACCACCGCCGCCAGCACAGCCAACTAGGAGAGTCGAGATCAATACAGCCACAAGCCACCGAGCCTCATCATCTGTTCACTATTCTGTGTAACATTCCTAGACCAGCGAGGGACGTGCCTGCCGCGTCTTTCATCTCTGGCACACGTAGATCGCATGATGATGAAAATACGATTTTCGGATCAGGGTTAGCATAGCTGCATAGCAACAAGTATAGCGGTATAGCAAAACTGCTGCTGATAGCAACTTATCAGTGATACCTCTCCCAACAGAACTGTTGAGAGCACCCACTACTTGAAATACAAAGCCGTTCGCAACTGATGAACCTATTGGACGTTGTCAAGGCTTCCAAACACATTCATTGCACGGAAAAACTGAAAACTGCTAAAGGAAAGAACATCTATTTGAGATTTTGCCGTGTGGCTATCAACGGCAGGGGGAGCAAAACTTTATGAGACGTCAGTTGTTGGCACTGTCACCTTTGAGAGCCGAGAAGTCGCGGACAGCTGGCTGTTCTAACTAGTAGCGACCAGAATAGACATCGACTGAGAGGGGCAACACTGACACTCACCATAGGCGGCAGATTATGACCGACATTCATTGCGCTCTGACGGATACTGAGAGACGAAAATAGCCGCCGACAACCACACAACACCGCCGGCATCTGCACATCGCGATAAACGACGGACCAACTCGTCCTTACCAGCAGATGAACCCGAAGAAACTGGACGAAGGAATCCGAAGCTAACTGTAGAAAAAGCAGGGGAATAAAAAAGGAGACCGAGGACAGCAGGACGGATACGAAGACAGAAGAAAGAGAGGAAACAGAACCTGATACCCACACAAGCAGAAGCGTATTTCAAGTAAAGGTCCGGAATCTCCTGCTTTGTACTCCTACCTAACACCAGGGTAGGATCCAAACCTTCTCACCGGTCAGCAGAATGTCGGTCAGAAGCTGGAGCTCAGCAGGTTCGGCCGGAAGCGCGCGCAGAGAGAGTCAACGAGGAAAACGTGAGTAACCCATGAGCTTTCTTTCTGGTTATTTATACCTCAATGTCAATGACCATCGCAACTAGGCTCAAGCCTCGAGTTTTTCCTTTTTTAGATGCAATATGGTCATAAACTTTATCGTTTCATGTATGGACATTCTCGTAGCATTTAGATTGCTTCGATGAATTTTATTACTGCTCAATGCTCATCCATGAATGAGTCTCGTTAACACCACTCGCACATCAAACTAGATTTGTAAATACCCGTCTTTCTTCCTGCAGGAGGAAACTTCGTCGGCAAGCTGACGCAGAGCGTTCGTCGTATTGTCAAAGAAGTGAAAGAGGACCCAATCGAAGGAGGTATGTACTAAAGGGCCGTCTTGCAATACTTTCCCGTTTGCAAGAAATCAGCTAGTTGACTAGATATACTTTCTTCACCTGTGTAGAAAACCTAATAATTTGATCGCTTTGAAAAGTTTGCACCCAATCGGTTAGCAATTTTCCGTCAAAGGGCAAAGTTTTTTTTTGTGGTGAAGAACGGGATCGTGTACTTGTTCTGTGAGATGAATACCGGATAATCTAAGGATAAATGTTACAGCACCGCAATGCGAATTGCAGTGAATCGTTAACCGGATCCTATTCAAAACTTCACTCTCTGAATGAAAAGTGTTCTCATAAAAATAGTCTGATGAAAATTCCCAGGCGCCCATATGTATGATGTAGGGAAACTATAGTTATGAAGCAGTCAGCAGCGACCATCATTAGTGCCTGAATAAAACAGCAACATCGCAGTGCTAACGCTATTCTTCAGAGACAGACAGACACCTTGGGTTACCGAGCTTCATCCATTCTATTGCGGAATTTCTCGTACAATCTGATGGCTTATGACACGGTCCGTTCCAATCCCTCCAAAGCCACCGGAGGCCCCATTTCCCATCTGGGAACACCCACTATTTAGTTAATTAACCAAGGTTTAGTTTATTTAGTTAATTAACGCGTCAGTCGCCGGAGGTGGATTAACAACATTGTTGGGGGACAGTTAACCTTCGCCCTGGTGGGGGGGGCCATTTTGGCCCCCCCCTGTGGTTTTTCAGCGATAACTCAGAAACCACTTGAGTTAGCGCCCTGAAACTTTGTATAGCTGTTTATTCAACATTTTTACATCATGTCCTTTTTTGGGGGGTTCGGGTCAGGTCAGGTCAGGTCACAAGGTCACCAAAACTGACACCACCTCTAAAAAAGTTCAAAGCTCTCTCAAAGGCACAGCTTTTATCCGATCGATGTAAAATTTACAGTACTTGAAGATGTCACCCAGCTCTACAAAATGGCTATCTCGGATTTTTTATAAATGTGACCTAAGGTCAGGTCAGGTCATCGCTGCTCCCCATTATAAGTCAATGGGAGAATCGAAAAGTAGTTGTTTTTCAGCTAAATCGGGCGTGATTGTTCCTATATTTCGTTATTGAAGTGTCTTGGGTCAGCAAATCACAGCCCATGTGAAACCATTTGCTTGTGACCTCGCTGAGGTCACGCTAGGTCATCTCCCTGGTCACCAGAGGTCACCAGCGGTTTTTCTGCACTTACTTGTTATTGAATAGAGATAGAGACTCCGTTCGACGTTTATCGTGTTTGTCTCGTCAATGCGGATCGAATGATATGCAGCATGACCTATTTCGGTAAGGTCATGACCTTGACCTGAGGTCAAATTTTCAAAATGACCTTTCGAGGTCAAACTATATATCATTCGACGCGTCTCGACGAGCCAAGCACGATGGTGCATGAATCGTTTCTCTATTTTCTCGTGAATGCATGCTATAGTTAAAAACATTTTCAACGAAATTTGCCAAGTTGACCTTGCATGACCTCTGTGGGCCAAACCGTTGAGCTGAGGTCAAATCTGACGAACCTTGGCGAAAGAGCTTGAAAAGAGCTATCGATTGCTTTTTTCCGCGGCTCTCTAGCTCTTCTAGTTTCCGAGCTACAGCGGAATATGTCCGGCAACACCGAAAACACTGAAATTTGACCTATGATGACCTCTAGCGACCTCAATATTGACCTTAGCGAAAAAATGACTGAAATACTTTCGAACGTACTTGTTATGGGCTTTCGTTTGCTTTTTTCCGCGTCTTCCTAGCCCTCTTCGTTTTCGAGTTAGACGGGGGGGGGGTCATTTTGGCCCCCCCCCCACCAGGGCGAAGGTGGCTCAGACCCACACCAGGGCGCGGGTTAACTAGCAAAGCTGGCTGAGCCTTCGTAGAGAGGCCTCGCGTTGCCCGTCAGATTCCCAGAGAAACTACCAAAATCAGACTGCTGACAACGGCTGATCAACAGTGGAGAGGAAAATAGATGCCTGTCGCTAAATCACGCCCCTTCCTGAACGAAATGGAATGTAAAGGTCAACAGAATGGCACAAAATAACAAGAATTGTGCCATCACATGCCTGGATGTTAAAAACAGCGTCAGAAAAATAGTTTAGTTTCACTTATCACTCCAAAGTCCAAACCAATTTCGTTACTCTCTAAATTGAACCAATTTGGTAAAACTGCGAGCGGTCGTATACAAAATAAAAGCTTCACGGACGCGCTATGCTATCCCGTGACAATATCGTCGCCTCTTCCGGCGATGAGCGGCGGATGTCACGTTTTCGCCCAATGCGCTACTGTGGTCTAATGGGCGGGCTGGGCGATCTGCTAACGACCCCCCCCCCCCGCACCGACCCGGGGGAAGGGGGAGGGGGCGTGCGGTGGCACTCTGCGTACTTAGTGTGGCGCTCCAGACCCATCAAATTACCGTGGGCAGGGCGCGGAAGGCAGCCGAATCCCAGCACACACGCATCGGTGGGGAGTCTCATAGCTCTTTCGTTATTACGTCCGACTTAGTTTTTTCGGACTTGATACCTACTTGATAGACTGACAAAAAAACGATCGGTTATGAAAGAGATCCCCGCTAAGGATGGGATCTTGGATATATGATGCCGGTGTTTGGTAGATAAAAACAAACTATGAAGGAACGCTGCTACCTGGTGAAGTTAGCGGGTCTGTATCAACTGCACTACAGTCTACAATATGCATATGAATTGAGTTAGCGTGACCGAAATCATAATGCGATTTTTTATTACCATACTGGTCATAACTCTCCGACCAGCCATCACATTACCACCCAGTGGCGTATCCAGGGGGGAGGCCAAGAGGCCATGGCCTCCCCCTTTGGCAATAAACACGCAAGTGGGCCCTTTGGGTTACTTGAGTGCAGTGACGTACCCAAGGGGGGCAATGGGGCCCTGAGGGGCGCCCTGCTTACCTGAGGGTCCCCCTGGTCGTCTGAGGGTCCCTGGTTATCTGAGGGGCCCCTGGTTATCTGAGGGGCCCTGGTTACCTGAGTGGCCCCTGGTTATCTGAGGGCCCCTGGTTATCTGAGGGGGCCTGGTTACCTAATTGGTCCCTGGTTATCTGAAGGACTCCTAGTTTCCTGAGGGGCCCCTGGCTACGGGGGCCCTGGTTATCTGAGGGGCCATGGTTACCTGAGGGGCCCTGGTTTCCTGAGGGCCCTGCTTACCTGAGGGGCCCCTGCTTACCTAAGGGGCCCGTGATTGCCTGAGAGCCCCTGATTATCTGAGAGGCCCCTGGTTACCAGTGGGGCCTCTTGGTATATGAGGGCCCCTGGTTACCTGAGGGGCCCTAGTTATCTAAGGGGCCCCTAGCTACCTGAAGGGCCCCTGATCCCCTGGCCAGTGATCTGAAGCAACCCTGGTCACCTGAAGTGCCCATGTTTACCCGGGAGTAGGTACCTGGTTATATAAAGGGCCCTTGCAGTCACATAAAGGCCCTTAGTTACCCGTGGAGCCCCTGGTATAACCGTCCCCTGGTTATCAGAGGGTCCCCTGGTCACCTGGAAGGCCCTGGTCAATTGAAAGAACCCTGGTCAATTGAAAGGCCCTGGTCAATTGTAAGGCCCCTGGTCACCTGAGAGGCCCCTGATTACCTGAACGGTCCGTGATCACTCAGATTCAATGGTATGGCCAGGGGCAAGGGGGCACGTCTCCGTTATAGGGTTCAGGGTCACCTCGGGCCCGAAAAGGCCTTGCGGTGCCAATTGGCGGCAGAGGGCCCGCGCTGGCAACGCTTCAACTGGAAAGGAGACCACAGGGCTTGTGAGAACACCCCATGAGCTCTTGTGTAGCCACACTTATCTCCAGAAGGGCCTCACGCCAGGTTCTGAGGGACCTTGCCGGCCCTGAGTGCTCTTGCCGGCCAATAAGGGATCAGCTGTAAGGGCCCCATACCCGTTTACTAAATGCTATGGCCCCACGGCCCACACCGGTGTTTCTGAGGGCCCTCACAACGGCGCCTGCGAGGGCCTCCACTGCCACCTCTAAGGGCCCCACACCAGTGCCTCTTAGCACCAGTGCCTACTTCGGCGGCTCTAAGAGCCCCACACCGGCACCTCTGAGGGCCCTATGCAGCGCCCTATGCATCTGACGGTCACTTACCAGCGACTCTGGGGGCCTCTTACCGACCTCTGAGGGTCCCTTGCCGGCCTATGAAGGACCACCAGTAACTTTCAGGGCCCCACACACGCCTAAGTGATGGCCCCCACCAGTGTCTCTAAGCCCATAAGGCCCTCACAACGGCGCCTGTGAGGACCCCACACCAGCGCATCCGACGGCCTTTCACCGACACCTCTGAGGGTGACTCAGACTACAGGTGACTCTGAGGCGCTCGCTCGCTTCACTTCCTCATAAAATACCGTGCATTTTATGCACACTTCTCAAGCAAAAAAAATGATATTTTTACCTGCCAATTTTGGACATTTTCTCGGGGCTTAGACAGACAGACAGACAGACAGACAGACAGACAGACAGACAGACAGACAGACAGACAGACAGAGGGGCCCGTCTGCAAGGGGGAACCGGACCCAGCATGTGCCCAATCCCCTCATCGAAGGGCTCTGGATACGCCCCTGCCTGGGTTGACAGCGGCATCCGGGTGACCCGTGGGCCCCTTTGAGAGCAGGCGGCCCCCTCCTGGGCGAAATCCTGGGTACGTGCCTGCTTGAGTGTCCCAAGAGAAACGACCTTCAGGGCCTCATCTAAAGTACTGGCCCAAGCATAAATAAAGTCAAACTGCGTCAAACTATCTTAAAATGCCATTGATGGCCCTCATAGGCCCTCAGAGGCCAAGGCCGAGCCCCCAGGGGCTAGCGTGGGCCCTTAGAGGTCGCTTTGGCGGCCATAAAGAAGCTTAGACTCGAGCGTGGGATCCTTTGACGCTGGTGTAGAGCCCTAAGGAGCCAGCGCTAAGCCCTCTAAGGCCAGCGTGGGGCCCTCTAAGGCCATTTTGGGGTCTTCTAAGGCCAGTGTG